TTCCAAACTACTTGGCCGTGTGCATGTTTTCCTTTTCAGATCTTTTTGTCGACCATCTCGAGGGATTGCGACACGCACCAGATATTCTTTTTCACACACAGAAGGCTTCAAAGCGACCGAAGAATTTCTAGATCTGGCATGATTTGTCGTTTTTTTCTCCAAACCGTTTGAAATGAAAGACCCAGAATGACATCGAACAACAATACCCTGCTCAATCAGACTTGTGGGTGCATTGGAGTTGCACATTTTGCTGGGAGAGTTTGTTGCTGTGGATTTCAAGCGAAGTCGTTTTACAATGAAATGGAACGAATCCGAATCAGAGGTTGTCTATTCTGATCCAGCGATCGACATGTCTCAGTCCAATGGTTGTCTATTCTGATCCAGCGACCTACTACCTACTACCTACTACCTACCACCTACTACCTACGACCTACGACCTACGACCTACTACCTACTACCTATTACCTACTACCTACGACCTACGCCCTACGACCTACGACCTATGACCTACGACCTACTACCTACTACCTACTACCTACTACGTACCACCTACTACCTACTACCTACTACCTACTACCTACTACTGCTGCTGCTACTGCTACTCTATTCTGATCCAGCGATCGACATGTCTCAGCCCAATGGTTGTCTATTCTGATCCAGCGACCTACTACCTACTACCTACTACGTACCACCTACTACCTACTACCTACAACCTACGACCTACGACCTACTACCTACTACCTACTACCTACTACCTACGACCTACGACCTACGACCTATGACCTACGACCTACTACCTACTACCTACTACCTACTACTGCTGCTATTACTGGGGGGGGGGAGGGGGGGGTGGGGCGTCAGGCTGTCGAAAATCTCGCGCGGAGAGACAATACTCAAGCAATACTAACCAATACAAGCAATACTAACCAAAACAATCCACAAAACACGCCGGCAGGCCGGCGGATTTTCACTGCCAAGATTGAAAAGACAAGTCTGAACGCCTTGGTCAGTCACATTGTCTCGTCATTGCCTGCTCCTGATGTTTGCTCCCATTGGGATCGACGGTCGATCGACGTGCCTATGAATCCAAGGAGTTGAAGCACGCGATGATGTGCAAAAACACCAAGGACCAATCCAGTAAACAATGGTGCTTCCACGATCACTCTTTGAACAGATATGTCTTGCTTTTGTGTTTCTCTAGTAGTAGTTGGATCTAGTTGGAATGTTTGGTTATATCCGATGATGTTCTTTTTCATCTCCATCTTCCGTCGCAGGATGGCATCGACTGCCCAAACAAGGCCTGCCCTTTCTGTCACAGTGCAGAGGAGCTGCCTGTCTGCAACGCATGCGTCGTAGGGCTTGCCGTTTGAAACAGATTGCTGTCCGCTCGCAGGCCTAGCGACGAGCTGACAGCGTCTGGGGAATTGAAAGTGTTGGCAGATCAGATGAAGTATGAATCAACATGTATGAACAACTCAGCATGAAACAATGAAGGCATGCATCTACAACCAGCTACACACCTTTACAAGGGTTGACGCCCGTGCGGCGCCCCTTGCGGCGCCTTGCAGTTGAGTTTAGGGCCACCCCAGACAGACTTCATGTGTTCATGGTTGGCGTCCGAGGCTGGAAATCGCCAGTCGCTGTTGCTTCGAAAACAGCATCAGCGTCCCGGGGCAGGTGACCGTGGCAACCACGTTCCTTGGCATCCACACTTGCACGCATCTTCAGGCTGACGTGTAGAAAATGACAACACATGTAAAACAATATGGACATGTTGTCCAAAGTTCTTCAAAACTGAGACTCTGCATGATTCTGCCAATTCTGCTTGAAAAGCGTGCCAGCATTTGTCCATCCTCTTTTTGTGGCCTTTGTGTTTTAAGTGTTAATCACCTCGAGGCAAAAAGTACCCATCAGATCGGCGCCACCGATCATCACAGCCACGACGGCGGTGATGGGCAAAAGCCACTTGGCCTTTGCCACTTGAAATGGGTGTATCGGAACATGGAAGATATGGGACCTCCCCCCAAAGACTTGAAAACTGAAAGGAACTGTATAGTTCCAGATAGTTCCTAGATCTTTCTGGAAACTGCCCTGTTCCACAATCAAACAACTATGAATATATTTAACTATATATATATATATGCTACAAGTATTAAAACAGTTTACTACAAGCATTAAAACAGTTTATAAGTGTACTAAAAGGTTACCTATTCCAACACGCACCCAAATTCTCTTTTCCTGGTGAAGTAGGACAGAAAGAAGTCACTACTGCTGACTAGGAATTCTTTTCGGATCCTCAGTTCCGTGTTTGTTCAGCTAAGGTGAGAAGGGAGCCAAGTCGCCGAAAGACGGGATGAGTGGGCTTTTGTAGAGATTTGTCGCATCTCCCAGACAACGCCCTGGCCAAAAAGGAGCACGTCCACTACGCACCAAACGATCGAACTCGCTTGTGCGCTTGGGCGTTTCCCAAATCGAGCAGATCTCAGGTCAAAAGCTGATCTACTCGGGCAAAATCCTAGCTGATGATGCGTCTTGGCAGAAGTTGCTGAGAAGTGGCGGTGATAATGGATTTCAAGTGCCAAGTTGCTGAGCATGGCTGAACAAAGAAAGCGAAAGCCAATCATGTGAAAACTCGTGGTAATTGCTGTATTTGGATGTGCATGGATCAAGCATTTGTAGACTCCAAAATCGTCTCGTAGAAGAGCGCCCCCCCTGTCAATCCACAGCCACGCTTCTACAGCATTTTTGGGAAACGGGCTTTACCGAGCAGTGCTGGATGTTCTGCTCAGACCTATCAAGCAATTTTTTCTTGAGTGTAGAAAGACAAAATCATTTGTGTGGGTGTGTGCTTCTGTTGTTCTTCCATGCTCGTCCCAGTGCAGCCAATAGAGGTTTTGTAATGCAAATGCCAGCCAGGTGCAACACATTTGATATTCTTTTCCATTCCAGCAATGAAGTTGGATCTGGTCTCAAAGATATAAAAGGCTGTAAGCCATCGAAGCTGATTGCGTTTGAACATGTTACATGTTTGAACAACATCTTCACAGCATCCTACGAAGGTTACCCCTGTGCCACTCGGGCCATTCAAGCCAGCAACTGCACAGAACGAGTTGTGATCTCCGCTCTTGGACACATCCAAACTCATGAAAGCACCAAGGCCACACTTCAGGAGTCTGGCTATCAGAGCTCTGGATTCATTGTTGCCATGGCGACCAAGGCCGAGATCGGTCGGTGGGTCGTTTTGGAACAAGCGGTCGCTGCGACACGGTTCCAGGCCAAAGCGCCAAGTGCGAAGCCAGTCCGAAGCTGAGAAGCCACCTGGGTGTGAGAAGCTCCGATCAAGAAGGGGCGAGACATGTCATCCATGTGAACCAGACCTGCAGAGACATGTGAAGCACAGCATCTTCGGTCATGCATGGAAAGGTCACGTCCCCCCCCACAAAACTGGAAGGATTAGCAGTTTACATCAGTTTACTATGTTTACTTGTTGTAGTTTACTATGTTGACTTGGTTGTGTCCCGGGGGGGATTTGGCCTTGAAGCATCTTGAGAGCTGGTTTTTTCCTCACCCTTCATCTCGAGGCTGCGACACCAGCGACTCCTGCACCCGCGACCACTCCGACTCCCGCGGAGACACCGACACCAGCGGAGCCGGTGACTCCGGTTCCCGTCGGAGTCCGAGGGGGCGAGTTGGTAAGAAACCGGTCGCACGGCGATTTGGTGGATGCCATTGGCCGGCGTTGAAGAAGTGGCGATTTGGTAGGCGAAATGATGCGAAAGAAGATCGAAAACAGTTCATCCTTGTTCCGATTGGCCACCTTTTGCACTCAGGCACAGCCACCTGCCGCAGTTTGGATCCCAGAGTCAAGACATGAAGTGAGGACAAAGCCATGCATTTAAAAAGCACCGAGCAACGAACTGTGATTCCTGAGTTGTTTTTGTTGTCTTGGCAAGCAGCTTGGCCAGGCTGCACCTCTTGATGCCAGCGTGCCCAGTTCTTTGTAGCCACACTGTATGCTGAATTTGAATGATGGATGCCCTTTTCTGAGCCTGGCGAGGAAGCAACCATTGAAAGCCTGTGCGAGATGGGCTTTCCGCGGGACCAGGTGAGATTGAACAGGATAGCCGGAAGAAATATGACAAATCAATGAGTCACCAGTCACAAGGATATCAGTAAGTAAATCACTGATATCAGTCAGGTCTTGACATTCTTTTTGCATCCTGCAATCTCATCCTTCGCCACTCTGTCAGCACCTCCTCGAGGTTGAAGCTGCATTGCGAGCAGCACCAGGACGAAATCCGATGATCGCAGTAGAGAGTCTTGACATGAATTCAGTGAATCCCATTAGATCGAGTCTTCTGGATCTTCTTGCATAGGCTTAGGATGGCAACAAAGGCGACGGTTTTGAAATGCATCTGCCAAGCGGCTGCACGATCAAAGGTTTTTGATGACTGGGATCCCTGAAGCAGGCCTGGTGGAGTCCATGGCTACTCCAATGGCATGACTTCATACTTCAATCTACTGCAGATGTCCTGCTCATAGGGCACATGGCACCGGTGCATCGTTTTGGAAACTGGAACCGGTGTATTTGCTTCTTCCTTTGGTCCGGTCTCCCGGCGCCTTCAGCGCCCACACAGGTGGACCTGAAGCTCCAGTGCGGCACCAAGGGGTGGGGGGAGCGCGATGCTAAGGTCCTGGGCTTCGGTGGGATGAAGAAAGTGTATCTTCGGATTTTGGGGCTGGGGAGCTCCTTGTTGGGCTCCTGTTTGCGGGACTGGAAAGCCGGTGGCTCTTTGTGTGATCGAATCAAAGATGTCAGGCAGGGCTTGCTTTTCCAGCGTCTGCTTATGGAGGAGGAGGAGGAAGCCACCTGCTGTGCTTAGCCATTTGACCTCTATGTATATACAAAATTTGTCCGCGGTTTTTTTGGAGATTTGAGAGCAACAGTTGAACAGTGTTAAACAGTTGAAATTGTTAAACAGCAGGAGAGGGTGAGCCCATGCCAGAAGTGCTGGCCCAATTGCGAAATAACCCACAGTGGCTTGGCATCGAATGATTTTGAGTTTCGCAACTTCACATGAGAACTGATCTTCGAGGTTTGGACAGCTTGCAGCTATGATTGCAAGCAACCCCCAGATGCTAGCTTGTACCTTAGTGCCGTGAATTGAACTGTTCAATGTCTGAGTTTTTTGCTGTTTGTAATTCATGCACAAAAAAAAGAGCGCCATTTGCTTCAGTGTGTGATCTGAGGACCAGGTCATGCAGGGCGTGCAAGCAACCCATCCTGAGATCGCTCAGGCACTTGGCCACTTGTGGCCGAGCGATGACACTTCCCTACACGGGCGACTCCAGAATTGTGTTGATGAAATTCAGGTTGATACCACCTGCAAGTGCCCTGTACGAACCAATCTTCACTGTAGGAAAAGGGTTTTCCCGTTTAGGCTGTTTTGCTGACAGACTCCACGACAGACCTGTTGAGGCCATCCAGGAACACCCTGATGCTTTCATGCGGCTTTTGCAAGAGGCAAGCTGAAGCAAGCTGAAAGGACCCGTGCTAGGACATTTATAAAGAACATTTCCAGACCTGGTAGGCAGGTACGATCTTTTCTTCACAACCGACCGTAGGCCAATCATGAATTAAGATGAACGCCAACAAGCCTGGCGATTTGGTTGTCAGCAAATTCGTCGTTTTTGACAAGCTTGATGGATGATATTGATGTGCCAACCTGTCATTCTTTAATATTTTTTGCATAGCAATCGCGAGTCTCAGGCGACCGGAGCAGATGCAGCAGAGGTGGGGCCGGGACAGCAGGGCAGACATGCTAAAAGGCGGCCAAAGAGTTGGTTTGCCATTGACACTTCCTTGGCTTGCTGGGCTCAAGCAGTTACAGGTGAATTTTAGCAGGTGTCTCCCATGTCCAAGAGCATTGCCAGCGTAGTTTTTGTAAGACATGGAGAGAGCCAAGGTAATGCCAAGAATGTCTATACAGGTTGGGATGATACGCCCTTGAGTATCAAAGGAGAGCAGGAAGCCGAGGAAGCTGGGCTTTGCCTCAAAGCGAAAGGCCTGAAGTTCGACATTGTTTTCACATCCGCCCTTCAGCGACTCGGATTTGGAAGTGAGTTTCTCAAAGAGTTTATGGCCCTATGGCTTGTGTTTTCACTGCTTCCATCTCCTTCCTGTTTTTGTCCATCAGACATTACAGTAGACTGTATAGTCGCTGATGTTTTTTTTGGTTCATGACATGTCTTTCTCATGTTTTACGTCTACATGTAACTTCCTGTGCCAGACCAGTGCGACCTCGTTTGTGCCTCAGGCGCGCCACGAAGACCGCGGAGCTGGCCCTGAAAGTGTCTGGAAACAGCTCAGTGCCCGTGGACAAGAGCTGGAAGCTCAATGCACGCCACTCAGGTGGTTTGCAAGGATTGACGCAGGCCGATGCGGTGGAACAGTACGGCGAGGGAAAGGTGACTACTTGGAGAAGTGCCTTGGTTTCATGAAAAGAGATCTGCGTGATTTGGCTCTCCACTACTCCACTCGAATTTTCACTACTGAGGTTCCTGAGGTTCTTTGGCCTTCAATTCTGGCTTGCCCTTCAATTCACTACTGGTTCGTTGACGTCGCAACGACAACGTCGCCCAACACACACTGCCAGACAAACACACCCCGGACACGGCCTCTGCACGGTGTCGAAGACGTCGGACGTCGGACACGGCGTCCTTTACGGACACGTCGGACACGGTGTGGGGCCTGTTGAGGCGCAGAAGCACTGCTTTCCAATAGCGCTAATAGCGCTGGCCTCCAACCTAAATAGCAAAAGGAACATAAAGGAACCCAAGATCGATGGCCTCCACCCTAGTAGCGAAGTCGGCCCTCCAACCTACTTGTAGCTTTCGGCCTTTCGGCCGCCCCTCACTGCTCTTCCTCACCAGGCAGCTATGACATTCTTCCAGCCTGTGTGGATCGCTCCGACCCCCCGGCATCCGGTGAACGATCCCAAGTACGCGGACGTCGATCCAGATCTATTGCCACCGGGGGGGTGAGTCATTGGCATGCACCGTACGGCGTGTGGTGCCACATTGGAAGGAGAGAGAGACGATGGAGGGACTCGTGTAGTAGAGTCGTGCGTCGTTTTGGCACGTTTTGGCACAAAACAGAATGAAACTGTCAGAAAAGCTGGTTGATTGAGCAAGCTTTGTTCAATGTTGTTCTGCCATTCACTTGGGGTCTAAAAGACTACCTCTTTGGCCATTGTCAGCTTGCTGAAGCCTGAGTCATGCAGGAGAAGATTGTGCCCCACATCAGAGCTGGAGAATCTGTGATGGTAGCTGCACATAAGAACTCTCTCCGAGCATTGTGGAAATACCTTGAGACTCTCAGTGCCAAACCTATGATCACAATTCGCGGTGTTGTTTATTTATGTTTGTTTCCCAAAGGTACTTGCAAATGTCAATGCTTTTGATTGCTGATTGGATGTCTACACCTCCCTTTCTGCCACCTAGAGCCTGAGAAAACAGCAGTGGAGTGCTTCCTTGTACTTACTGTAGTCAAAGCGCGTCTTAGGAATGTTCCCGATGAAGATGCCCTGGACATCAAGATGATGCCGGCCAGTGCGCCGCTGGTGATGGAGTTTCAAATTCCTCCTGTTGGAGATGATTTGATCTTCCTGAGAAAGTATAGCTTGAACGCCCCAACCTTCAATCCGAAGGCCAGAGTAAGCAATGATAACAAGCGAAACCAGATCGTTCATGACAAGGGCATAGATGGCTCCCGAGTTGTCAGGTTCGGATTGATGCTGCCTTGTCCAATGGAGCAACCAACAAGGCTGGGTCATCAGCAATGTTTTGGTGTTGTTCCTTCGGCTTGTTCGGTGGGTTCGGCTCAGTCAAGATGTCGGTTTTAGATGGTTTTAGAGGTTTCGGTGAGTTCACGTGTTGAAGGTACTCAAGTTGGGGTGACGCATGGTGGCACATTGCGAAGCATGAATGGTAATTACAGTACCAATTACTTAAAACTATATGATACGTATGTAAAGCTAAGAACTGTCAATTTAAACTTCTTATTTGAAGGATGCAACTACTGCAATTAGTTGCTATGTTTTAAGACCATCTGCTGCATCATGTCCTATATAAGAAACGACCTGCTCCACATCGAATGTCAATTGTGAGGTCTTTTTCCTTCGACATTCGGAGAGCTTGGGCAATGCCAAGGGCCTTTACGGTGGATGGGAAGATGCAGCCCTCAGCTTGAAAGGTGAACAGCAATCTGTGCAGGCGCAGCCATGCCAAGTGCCCCACACAGCTCCGCTCCGCGGTGCGGCCGGTGAGATTTGAGAGCTCCACACGAGCCTTATGATCACTCAGATTGGGTGTGGTGTAATAATCACGTCTGGCTAGATAAGAAAGCTTTTGGTTAGCGCTATGTTTGAGATACCGAGTGCCTTCCTCTACTGATTGATGCCATCCCTGTCCGATGGTGCAATCCTGCGAGGCAGGCCTCTTGCTGAAGCAGCAAGGTGTGACGGTGAACCACGTGTTCACTTCAGTTCTTCAAAGAGCGGTCCTGGCCCTAGGCCATCTTTCATTCAAATGCCCAGTGCCTAGTGGCCTGGTGGCTTGTGGCACATCTCGGCTTGTTTGAGGTGAGAACGGCAGCACTGGTGTGTAGCGCCTCTGACAATGTGGATGTACCAACGACTCGAGCGTGGCAGTTGAATCCCAGCCACTCTGGAGTGCTACAGGGCTTGACCGAGAAGGAAGCATACGAGATGTATGGTGAAGAGAAGGTCTCTTGGATCCGGACCAACAAGTGCCACGCTAGTAGTAACAGGTGCCTTACTAGTAGTAACAA